CATTCGAACCGCAGCAACAACCATTAACCTGAAGTTCCTCAACCCCACAGCGGCACTTTGTTGTGAAAAAGTTCTATGACGTTATATAATATTACACGTACACGGTAGTAAACAGTGTTACAAATACCGTGTTTATATTACAAGAACTCACGACACCCTGGAGTGAGCGACAGACTAAACGATTAACGCTAATTGAAATTTAATTGCTGAATAATACTTTTGAAATGATTCATAAAGTTATAAAAGGCGATCCAAACGTCTGTGGTCTGAGTGATTCAACTCACCACACCCCATCTCTTCATCACTACTAAACTCTAATACAATAATGATTAAAGAATGATAGGCCTGTGTTTTTAGTGCCTTGTTGATTAATTGCGAGTAATAAATGTGCAACTGAGAAATGTTTACCACAGGAAATGCCACGGTGGAAAATAACAATAGACGTTTGTAAAATGGAAGCGACTGCAACATTTGTAAATCACAAGCAAGGATGTTTGAGGCCTGTTGGGAAAAGTGGGATAAATGTAAAAATCTAAATAGGCTCAGTTTTATTTTTGAGAATGTAAAAAGAAAAGAAAAAGGCTGACAAGGTACAAGTAGAGGTCACTCCCTTTAGTTCAGTTTTTTTGTATTGTTGAATTTTTGTATTAAGAAAAGGAAACACTAACTTATAAATAAAATAAAATAAAAAAATATATATAATAAATAAAAATAAAAATAAATAAATAACATAAATTAAAAAAAAAATATAAAAAAATAAATAAATAAATAAAGGCCTAAAATAAATCATATTCTCAAATTAAATCTCTTTGGCACGTTTGGCCTTAGAAGGTTTGATTATGTGTTTTATGCTGACACCTGGTGGCCGTAAAGCGTCAGTACAACAGTGGTGGACGAAGTACTCAATTTTGTTACTCTAACTTTCCTGGTAGGTCGCCACAACTTGTTTCCATGGAGATATTATTGCTTTGCCTGAAAGATTTCACAGTGTGGCATTAAACTGGCAAGTCGTCATTTGGACTCGAGTCAGATTTGAGTCACTATTTTTAGGACTTTAGACTTGACTTTATAAAATGGACTTGGGACTTGACTTGGACTTGAAGGTTAATGACTTGGGACTTGACTCGGACTTGAGGCCTGTGACTTGAGAAAACTTGAGAAGCACTTTTCAATCTGAATTCTTTCTATTCTGATCGTACTGGTTCACACTAAGATCTTGTCGAGACATTTAAAAAGGAAAAATGAACTAAATTTATTGATAGATTATATAAGAGTTGTAGAAATTCACAAATATAAATATACTACGATTTTTTTTAAAGTACAAATTATCTTAAAAGTCAGATAAGTCAGATAAATTGCAAACATCTTAGCTATATTTGGTACTTTGGTTTAAAGACTTGAAATGACTTGAAGCTCAAAGCATATGACTTGGACTTGACTTGGACTTATGGCCCAGTAACTCAAGACTGGACTTGGACTTGCCTGTATTTGACTCGGACTTGAGGACAAAAGCTTGAGACTTACTTGAGACTTGCAAAATGATGACTTGGTCCCACCTCTGGTTATATGTATTCACAGGCTTTTTACTGCTCAAAATACTATAATAATACTACAAAAAAAAAAAAAAAAAAAAACATGGTGGGCTTGTCTCTGTTGAAATAGAAAAGTTTAATGCTACTATGGGACATTCTAGATCAGGAGTCTTGGGAGCTACCAGTATTTCTCCACCCCCTTCCAAATAGCTCACCAAGGGATTTCTGAATTACATGTATTGTGCTGAATGACTAAAATTTTATGAATTAAATGCCTATTACCATTGTAAATAAATAATTCTGTTGCCTAACTTTGTGCACTAATGATTGGATAATGGTTTATGTTTTATAGGCGTCTAACTGTGCCCCATCTAAGGCTTGTCGAGGCTCTTATATTCACTAAAATGAGAAGCTCTCCAGCATTTTAATTTTGTAAAGTAGCTCACTGGAAGAAAAAGGCTGGAAAGCAATAACACCTCCATGAAGGCAAACAAGTGGCGAACCCTCCACCAGAAAATAGGCACCTTTAAGTAAAAGTACAGAAACAGGGAAAAAAGATTATTGAAGTAAAAGTAAAAGTATTAGATGAAAAAATCAACTTAAGTAAAACTAGTGAGGTACTTATTTAAAAATGTACTTTAAGACTAAAAAGTAAAGGTATTTTGCAGCAATTTTTTGAACAATAAAAGCATCAAATGTAGAGATTTTGAGCTGATTTTAAGTGATTCAACTATTTTTTCTAGCTGTTTTGGGGCTTTTTGTGTATTTGTTTGCTCAAAGTTGGGACTTTAAACTCAAATTAAATGTGCTAAAAATAAGAAAAGTACTTTTTACTTTTCAGTCCAGATCTAAAATGTTGTGGATTAGAAAGTACAGATACACGTTCTCAAATGTAGTGAAGTAAAAGTAAAAAGTATCCACTGTAAAATGTACAGAAACCTAAAAATTGTACTTTACTTTAGTACTTTGTTACCTTCCACCAGTACGACAACAACAACAAAGAGCATGCAGGATCAGACTGTGGTTATGGTCTTTTAAATGTATAATTACAAAAACACAATTAACAAAGTCACTGTTTATTTCTACATGGTAGCAGGATAACAAGGCTACTGAAAACAACATGTAATAATTAAACATGCAGAAAATAAGTTGGACCAGCCAACGTATCACACCACACGGACAAAACCAAACGATCTATAAAGTACAATGGCTTAAAAAAAAATAAAAAAAAATAAAGCACAACATGATGCAGCATTGAACACAACAAAAACACAAGTAGTTGAGATGTAGTTACAGTACATGACCAGTAGATGGAGGCGCACAGTTTGAGATCAGCAACACAATGAACAAAGATGACGTATCCCTGAAACTCCAGACACCTCCCTCTCCCCTCAAACACAACCCAGGGCATGCATCAAACCCCAAACCTTTGTCAGCACTTGCGTTTTACAAAAGGATGGAGTTAAAGGTCCCATGTTACGCAAAATTGACTCTTGTGAGCTTTAAGTCGTGTTAGAATGTTGTTGCCTCATCAAAAACATGACTGGAGTTGTGTTTTGTTTGAGTGAGCTACAAAGGCAGAATGGCATAACGTCATATTTGGTCAAAAATTTATGTAGTTAATGTCATTTTGGGGGTGTTTGAGACCTCCTTTGTCATGTCAATAAATATCGAGAGTCAATTTGATTGTTTTAACCCCTTAGAATTCCAGGCCATTTTTGTGATATCGCTCTTGTTCTGACCTCTCCAAACTAAAATGATTGCCATTAGTGAACCCTCAGTTGCATATACACAAGTTTTTGTTTGTTTGTAAGGTAACACCCAATGGTTTTACCCACAGGTGTCAAAATCACTGTAAGTATATGAGAAAATAAAGGCCTATGACAACCGTAACATCAAAAACCGTAACAAAAAAAACAAACAGAAACTTTGAAGTCATTTTTCTCAGTTTCATACTCTGGTGTGTTCAGTGTTGGGAAGGTGACTTTTAAAATGTATTCCCCTACAGATTACATACACCAAAATGTAGTTTGTAAAGGAATCCATTAAATTACTTAAAGTGAGTAACGTAATCTGAATACTTTGGATTACTTGATTTTCTGTAGAGAAGCAAAGACTCGGAAATCTTCACATAAGATGTTTTGTCTGCTAAAAGACAATAAAAAGCCCAGACTTTACTGAACCGTATTAAAAATATTATTGAGAGAATAGCTTTGTCCTGTTAAATCTGTTTTAGTCCTGGTTTAGACCTGGTTTAGATCTAGTTTAGACCTGGTTTTAGACCTGGTTTAGACCTGGTTTTAATCCTGGTTTAGTCCTGGTTTAGACCTAATGCGCGAGAACGCACAGTGGTGTCCAAATAATTACCGACGCAACTGCAAACAAAGCAGAGAGTGAACATGTCTGTCAACGATCATTTCTCATTTCTTGCGAATTAAAAGGTGCAATAAAAAAATGCGAAGTTTGTATTTGACAAAGGAAGTCCAAAGGAGGATAGCGTATGCTGTCTGCTGTCGCAACTCGGGTTAGTTCAGCTCTTCGCTGATTGGCCGGTGTGTGGTCTACAACTTCTGGGGTTTTTGCAAACCATGTAGTGTATTCTGATTCCTGACCTAGTCGCTGTAGAGAAAAGAAATTCAGTGGAGGTCTGTGTATATCTTGAAAGCTCAAGTTGCTCTGTGATGTTGCGTGGTTCAGTAGAGATTTGCAAATTCCAAGGCTGAAATGATCCAAATGAATCTAGTGAAGGTGTATGGAGTTTAAAAACACAGTGGAGCACTTCTTATATTACCACAAGACAAGTGTTTTCAGTTTGAGAGAAATGTTAAACTTGAGTGCAAAACACAACTCCAGCTCTGTTTGTTAAGAGGTAAGAACATTAAAACAATATTGTAATACAGCCCCTTTAAGACAGAACAATACTACTCCAGTCAGTTATGTCACTTTGTTTTAAGACATAAAGCCTAACACTCTGTTTGTTGTTTTTTTCTATCTTCAAATCCTTTCTACTCATCAAGTCTTATCAGGGAAGGCGGTGTAATGACAGAAAGACAAAAGTTTCAAAAGAAAACATGTAAATATGTAAAAAATATTGTACATTTTTATTTTTTTCCCTCAAAAGGCAAAGCAAATGAAATACTGCATTATGTTAGAGATTTGGTATGAGTCATTAATTTTGGGATCAACGTTAAAACAAAATACTGGTGTCTTTCAGTCTCTCAGCATTTACAAAACGAACATCCTGAGCTGCCCCAAGTAGTCTGCGTTCAGTCAGTGCAACTTTTACAACCATCGCCAAGAACAGATCGGTCAAGTACAAGCTGTAAAACAGGTTTCATTTGCCCCTTCAGTCAGTTTTGAAAAAGCATTTCAAGGCCATTTTCAGTATAATCAGGCAGTCTGCTACTAACACAACAAATAACTATCAAAAAACTGTAGATGTATAAAAGCATTTCACCTCGGGCTAAAGGAGCTGTTAGGTAGTGACACTGTTCTCCAGTTTTGTGTTCTTCTGGCTCCTCACACGCCTCACAGTGTCAGTGGCAAAGCCAGGCTCAATATGGCAGAAATCAAAAGTATGTAGCACCAGAAGGTGATGAAACTCAAGGGTCTGCATCAGAAATGAACAAACACTCAATGGTTTGAAAGAGAATACAAAGAAGTGACTAGGGCAGGTGAAAGTATTACTAGAATGACAACATCATAAGACTTCTTTTTCAGACCTTTTTAAGACAAGTCCAACGGTGGTGTTTATGTCGTAGCATTCATAGTATGACCTGTGTTTTACTTCACCTTATGAACATTCTGCGGCTGGTCACATGACATACTCTGATACTGCTTTGTGTCTGTTCGGCTGTACAGTCTTTGGGGCTTCCATGGGAAGCATTATCTTTGGGCCAGTGTGGGACTGTTCCTAGCTGTGGTAGCTGGGCACAGCTGCCTGTTTCTGGGAGAGGCGTAGGAGCTCTTCTCTGATGGCTTTTATCAGAGAGGCAGAGGAGTGAGCCGGGGGAGGGGGGTCCAGGGGAGGAGGCGCTGACATGTAGCCCACCCCAGAGGAGTCTAAGTGGGGAGGCAGAGCGGAGGCCTCCCTCATACCACTTCTAGCCATCTGCAAGACAGAGTAGTCATGATAGTCCAGGTACTGAGGACAGAGAGGAAGAGAAGGAGAGGGAGGTGTTAGTAAAAGGCCAGAGGAGTTAGCATGAAAACAGAGATACATACTGCCTCTTTCTCCAGCTCAGCTCTGCTGAAGTTGTCATGATACGGATTCCAGCCAATTCCTCCATTAAGGCCCAGAGCAGCTCTGCCTCCTGCAGGGTATCCGTTCATGCGGCTGGGCAGGCCCACCTGTGTCAGATGGTGGACACCTGCACACAGCAAAAACATACTCATTTTTCTATTGGTCTAATACATACTTCTGCTGATATGCAGTAAATCTGTTATTTTCAGTTTATACTTATTATAAGACAAACACAACATCAACAGAATAACCAGGGTCAACAACAGTTTAACTTCTGATTCCTGTTTATCATTCTGCTCTGAAGCAGCAGAAGGTGCATGTTTTACCACAATGTCATGAGCACATTTAGAGCAAACACAGTTGTGAATGCTTCAGAGTTTGAATATCTCCATAAACCTACAATAATAAAAACAGAATGATAATTGAAAATATGTTTTGCCTGTACCTGCAGTGCTCCCCACAGGTCGAGGTCTGGCGGATGGAGGCAGCTCGTCAGCGTAGTGCCCCCTGCTGGAGAACAGGCTGTCTGCTTGGAGCTGCTCACTGAGTCCTGCTGCTTCTCCTGGTGGAAGGAAACTGGAGCCAAGGCCCTGTCTGAAAACCACAACAGCATTTAACTGAACTGAGGTCGAGCATGAGCCTGGTCTGACAGTCTGATTCTGTGCTCCATTAATGCTGCCTGCACTATTCACAAATGTGGGATGTGTTTCATGCTTTTATGAGGCAGACCACTACCAGGATCTGAGCATTAGAGTAATGAAATAAAAATGACTTATCATTGATAATTTATGAAGTCCTGCTTGCAACATGGTGCATGAGGATAATAGCCCTGAAGAGGTTTAACCTGCTCTGTGCTTATCACGAGAAATGTGAAGGGAGAAAAGCAGTATTTATGCTGTTTAACGTACCTTGGCGTCCGGCCTTGGACCGGGGGTGGAGACAGATCACTAAATCTCTGCACAGAAAGAAACAAATCTGTCTTAGTGAATAAACAGTATAAGCTGTTCTTTGTACAGCTCAGTCCTCTTTTTACAGATTGAATCAAGTGAATAAAGTATTTCATGCACAAGGACACAGTTCTCTCTTATCCTCTACTCTCTCTGCATAAAAACATGAGCTGCCCGTTCATTTGTCCAGACCCCGTCCACACTAAGTGGTGCTAATGCAGATCAAGCCTGTGTGGGATGTATTACAGGAGACTTAGTTGTAGAAAGCTGAGCGGAGTGTAAGGTCAGTGGTTCAGTGAGGCGACAGATGGAGATATGCTTAACTGATTAGTTCGTACAGTTTCCCGGCAACTACGAGGAGAAAAGCTAAATTTCTCCACAGCTCTAGAAAATGCACGTTCCCAGAGTCCCTATAAACTACTTTTATAAACAACATGAATCTGATGTGAGGGGAGCTCACGGTAGAGAAAGGACCCGACGGCTGGTATGAAAGCCCCCAGTGTCCGGGGGGGCTGGAGCTCGAGTGGTTTCCGTTGACCCCCGGGAGGGTGATGCCCGCCGTGCTGCCCTGAGAGGTGGGCGAGACCAGGGCAAAGGCGTCGTCCAACAGGGAGTGCATCTGCTGCCGGGCCTCTTCGATGGAGGGCTGAGGGGGCATGTACGGGGGAGGAGGGGGGGCGTGGCCTGGAGGGGAACAGCCTGGGCCCATAAAGACGTCGTCCACGGGTGAGGGGCTGCGGAGAGGAGATCCTGGAGTTTGATCTGGGTCCGACTGAAAAACAACACATGGATTCAAATGTCAGTAATGAGAATGTAGTAATGCTGTTTTATTTTAGGTTGGTCTTAAAGAGTCATTAAACACCCTCCCGAAGCTTTACTCTGGCCCTAAGAAAAATCCTCCAGAGTGGGTGGTGCCTGGCAGGTTGGGGGGAGCGGGTGTGGGGCGGGCTCTGAAGCAGTGATTGACAGCCGACTGACAGCCACAACAATCCAACACGGCGTGGACCGGTGCGCTCCAGACTTTGAAACAGAGCGGACATTTGTGCTCGGCTCATGCCCTTTTCTCCAGACACGGCGGGACATAGCGGTGCCAGGTCGGGGTGGGGCTGAGAGGGGCCACCCACCTCCCGCCAGTAGACGCCAGTGGCTGCGCTCGTCACGTAATAACCCTGAATCTGACTCATTGGCGGCCGTTAGTCCAACCCGAAAATTCAAACATCCTGGCCGTAGTTGATCCTACAGACACAACTTTGAGCCAAAAGTCACATTTTTTACAACTATGCACCAAAATAAGGCTAGGGAAAGGTATACACTTCTATTTTAGACCTATTTACACAGATAATCAGTAGGAAAAAAAAGGGATTTTGGTGTTTAGTGTCTCTTTAAGATAAATGGAAACAAAAGCTTTAACGTAAGACTGATCAATCAAGCATAAATCACAAAACTTCAACCAAAACTATGACATCTTGCATGTGGACATTGATACTGGTTACAATATACAGTCTATACCAAATTAGGGATGCACTGATACCAATACTGGTATCAAAATCAAATAAAAAAAATGTCTGGACAGGGCCATGCTATGGGTTCAGATGATATCCTTGATAGTCCTTTAATTGGATGTAATAAGAATCTCATTTTCTGGCTATGATTTACCTATATACCACATAGTTTCATCAAAATTTGGTAAAGTAGGGTTTAACTCATTGGGTGAACTGAGGTGGACTGACCCTTTTCTAAACAGGCAACAAATAAATTAGTAAAATATACCAAAAAAATCCTCTTCATGATGTATCGATACAGCAGCCCATGATATTGTTACTGTATTATCACATTAAACAATATGATATATCGATATTTTGATATTTTTGCACACCCCTAATCAGCAGATAGTTCAAGTCAAAGTATCGATATCAGTATCAGAGCTGGATCAGTGCATCTCTATACCCAGAGTGTTACTATTTATCTTTACACTGTTCTGTACCGTAAATTCTGGACTATTGAGTGCACCTGAATATAAGCTGCATCAATTCAATTTTAACAACATTTTAAAACTGTACATATGTTGGTCGCATCTGAATATAAACTGCAGGTGTTCACGTCTTCAAGAACGTTTTCAAGTTCGGCGTGTCTGCTTTTATCGCCTCTGAAAACTTTTGTCGTCTTTTTGTGTTAAGTCAGTTCGTCACACTGCCGTCGTCAAAATTTCACCATCGACTCACTGATGCCGAGCTCACGTGCAGTAGCTCTGTTTCACTGTTCAACAGTCACATAGATCGCTGTTAACTTAAAAGCTGCATCATCTGCATTTCTTCATGTTTTTTCCTTGAGGAGGGAGCACAAAATAACTGTTCAAAACACAATCAAACGAGCATCTTCCTTGGCGCATCACCCACATCTCTCCCCGCTCTCTACAGCACATGTCTCCTGCAGAAAGAGCCTCTGTCCTGTCTGTATCATGTCAGTGTCTTGGAGGATTTCAGCAGATTTCAGACTCTCTCGGGGGCGGGGTTAGTTCTGTCAATCAGGTATGAGTTGATGTTCGGCTACTGAAGTTTGAGATGTTTCTTCTCGTCATTTACGCACATGGGTAAGATGTATCCCCATCACTAATGTTCATTTAGCGTCATCATCAACTTATTTCACCACACGGTGATAAACTATTTGAGTGCACTGACAATATTGCAAGCTCATGTAGCAACTTCATGTGAACCCTAGAATGAACAATGTGCCAAACAAATACCGTATTTTCCGGGCTATTCGTCATTAAATGGTCTATTTTCAAACTTTTTTCACAAATAAACCACACCGGTCTTTAAACGAAACACAACAGTTGGATGGGTCAGTGGGACTTTGTTTGTTTGTGGCGTTCACGGTGACTCTGGGCTTTGTTCAGTTGTGGCGTGTAGGGAGGGTGCTGTCTGGGGTCGCTGGATTGTCGGCGTGTTCACAGTGACTCAGTTGTTCAGTTGTGTGTAGAAGCGCCACGTTGCGCTCGCTTTTTCGGTTCGTTCCTCCATTCCGTTCCTCGTCGGCGTGGAGTGATGAGTGTGTCTGTGGTGGTGTTTTTCGCTGCACGGTCTCTGTCTGCTCTGTGTGTGTTTGCGTGCTCTGTGGGTGGTGCGGCTTTGTAGTTTACTGAAGTCGTGCTGGGACACCCGAGAGGATTCGTGTATAGGGCGCTCTGGATTGTGGGTCGCACAGTCATTTTTGATGGGGTTGGAGGCTTAAGAGCGCGTCTAATAGCCCGGAAAATATGGTATTTCAATCAATTTGATACACTTTAATAAAAGTAAACGCAAAATCATGGCTGTGATACTAAAAGTCTTTGTTAAACCACGTCTTGTGCAAAGTGAATATGAAACGCAAACATTTTAATCCTCAAAACAGTGAAAATGTCAAATGTGTTGCACAAATGAATTTCTTTTCTGGGTCATTACACCTCAATTCACCCCGAAAAATTGCAATTGGAATGCTCACATTGTCCAGATGCAAAGAAAAATGGTGTATGGGAAAGTTATAGCCAAGACAGCCAAAATCTCACATTTTAGTATGATCGGAATAATGGTTCCTGAGACATTGCAACGTCTTTTTTCACTTTTTTGCATGCTCGCCAAATTTTGCATTGCATTTACTCAGCAACTACTGGTCCAATGTCAAAAACCAAGGGATCTTTGGAAAAGGGCGCGCAGTCGTTTTTTGATAAGGTACGGTAATCCGTCCGTATATTCGTCGCATCGTTTTATTCGCCGCAGGGTTCAAAGTGTGCCAAAAAAGTAGCGGCTTATAGTCCGGAATTTACGGTATTCACATGTGTATTTATAAGGTTTCTACCACTGCTTCGTGAGGATTAGTGTAACAAAACTGTGTGCACGAACCACATAGGCCACATTGTTGACTCCGGGATACTTTCTGTACACAGCGTCGCAGTCCTCACTGATGAGATGATCTTTGTCTGCCTCCATCAGACCTCCATTCAGCGGGTCCTTAATCCTCTGTTTGGGAGAGCGCCTGCCTCTGCCACTGCAAATACACACACAAAAACACACACAAACACACACACACTTTACAGTCAACACAACGCGACAGCACAAGAGCAAAGCAGCGCATTCATCACACAGACCTCTTTTTGGGCTCTATAAAAATGGGGTGCGTCTGCGTATCTGGGTCCAGGATTTTATCTATTTGTAACTGTGCCTTCTGATAGATGTGCTCCTGCTCCTTGTTTTCGCTCGGTCCATTCGTCACGTCGTCCATGGCGGGGAAGTCGTAGTGGCCCTTCCTCTTGGCGCGCAGGCGGATTTTGTTACGATGGTGCTCAATCTCCGACTTCTGCCTCAGAGCGACCTGGATCTGGGAGAAAGTTTGTAATTAGTTTTCCAGAATATTTACAGACTCTTTCTTAGGCCCGTCACGATAAATACGACATCGTCTTATGGTTCAATATATGAGAGATGGAACGATAACTTTTGGGGTTCAACATTTATTATAAAGACTTTTTCTTTGTGCTAGTGGACAATTTTTGGTTCTTTTTCTGTACTATGATATGTATGGACTTCTATGACTCATTATAGACACAAACTTACTACTTAAAGGTGGTTGGGGGTCAGTCCGTGTATCATTCGTTCATTTGTTTTTCAATATAAAACCAAAAATAAGAAAAAAACAAAAAAACAACAAGTTTCTTCATTATTTGTCTCCAAAACGAAAATGAAAAAAGGAAAAAACAGAAACAGCCATGTCCCATTTATATGACTTAAACTGTGATGCCAGACAAACCAGGACTAAACCAGGAGTAAACCAGGACTAAAACAGGTCTGGGACCAGATCAGGACTGAGCCCGGGACTTAGACCGGGAGATCAGACCTGAGTCCGGAACCAGATCAGGGCCAGGACCAGGACTGAGGCTGGGGCCAGACCAGGACCAGACCGTCATTGAGACTGGAAATACTTCATATAAATATCATTTTTTAATTCAGAAAATCAACTAAATACAAGATGCAGGCATGTTATTATTTGCCAAAAAGTAATAAAAAAAATAGGCCATGACAACTTTTGAGGATTGCCTCATAGGTCCAGTTCATGTGGGGGGGGGCCGATCAAAGGGAAGTGGAGGACCGGAGTCGGACCGCGGGCCTTAGTTTGATGACCCCTGCTTTAAAGTAACTATCCGTGTTAAAGTACTGTCTTCTTTCTGCTGCTTTTCATTCATTTCTTGTATGTTTAATGTTATGACACTGTTTATGTTTTATAAAATGAAACAGTTTGGAGTCGTCACTTCACCGGCTTTATTTACTGAGCAGAAGAAACATCGATCGAGATGGACTGAACTGGACTGAAAGAGGACTAAACCAGGACTGAACTATGACTAAAACAGAACCAAAACAGGACTAAAACAGGACTGAACTAGGACTAAAACAGAACTAAAACAGAACTAAACCAGGACTGAACTATGACTAAAACAGGACTAAAACAGGACTGAATTAGGACTAGAACTAGGACTAAAACAGGACTAAAACAGGACTGAACTAGGACTAGAACTAGGACTAAAACAAGACTAAAGCAGGACTAAAACAGGACTGAATCAGGAGGACTAAACCAGGACTATGTGTCGGTACGGGAATTTGCAATCGTACCGAAGAAAGCGTAACTGTAAATTTTCATTTCGTGATTGTCATTCTTGATGTCGTAACTTTTCAGTTCATATTCTGATGGATAAAACACACACAACGCATTTTATGTACGACTGGACTCATTCAAGAATTTACAAATATTTATTTTATGCTCAACTACAGCCATGACAGGCCATGATAACTTTTGAGGATTGCTTCATAGGGCCAGTTCATGTGGTGGGGGGGCCGGTCAAACGGGCGTGGAGGGCCGGAGTTGGACCGCGGGCCTTAATTTGATGACTCCTGCTTTAAAGTAACTATCAGTGTTAAAGTACTGTCTTCTTTCTGCTCATTTTCATTCATTTCTTGTATGTTTAAAGTTATGACATTGTTTATGTTTTCTAAATGAAATAAAAAAAATATATAAAAAAATGCACTGTTATGATTTGGAGTAGTCATAACTCACCTCGTGGTTTATCTGCTCAGGGTCAGACACTTTCCCGTTGGCGGTGGGGCTGTGCAGGGGCGGCACAGACATGGGCTGCATGGCGATAAGCTGGACTTTGTTTGGTCTCCTTCCTGCGTCTGCGGCACGGGACATTCTGTCAACGTGCTCGAAGATGGACGCCGACGACAGCTGCTCACCGGGGCCGTTCGAAGGAGGAGGACCTGGACACGCAAACAGATTATGTGTCAAAATAAAATAAATACGACTTAAAAAGGTGCATGGTGTAACTTTTCCGGTGGAGCGTCCGTCAAATGCTCTTATAGTTTTTGTCTGGAGTGTTTCACAGTATGACTTTAAACTTTTCTATCTTCATGGAGACCAAACCAGACCAAGTTACAGGTCAGATCTGTGGAGAGGCGACCCCGCTCACAGTCAGAATGCTTGTTTTTCTAAGTATTTTTGCGCTATAAAACCACTTGTAATTGAATAAATGTAAAGTAGAGCTGTTTAATGTCATACTGTGGAACATTCCAGGAAGAGCGATGACGTCTCCATAGAAACAAGAAGGTGACGGACCCCCAACCAAAAAGTTACACAGTGTAGCTTTAAGTTTTTAACAGATCTTTGCTTCTTAGATGGGATGGTGTACAAAGATGTGGTAACACTTTATAATAACTTTTATAATACCTTAATTAGCCTTAATAAAGACTTAATTCATAATGAACTAATAGTTTATTAAAGGTTTTATATTAGCAACTCAAAAACAGACCTGGAGTTGTGTTTTGTCTCATTCACATGTTTTTAGTTACTTTATTAGTATTAGTCTTTCTACATTTTCAAAGCTCAAAATGCTCTGTTCCAACTTGTGATGTCATGAAGTGGTAGTTTTCAAGTTAACAGCTCCTTTAAGGTTTTGTTTAGTGAAGATCGGGAATCCCAGGGCTTAAATTGATCCAAATGATTCTAGTGAAGGAACAAAACACAACTCCAGGTCTGTTTGTGATCAGGAAACAACATTATAACACAAATCAGAAAATAGCGTAATATGGGTCCTTTAAAGGGACAGTTTGGAATTTTGGACATAGGACCTCATTTCCTAGTGATCCAGAGTGTTGGAGACGTGTGGAAACACTTTGTTAAATATTCCATCCAGTCCTTGTATTTGCAGAGGTCGCTGGTGCTAGGCTAGTGCATGTCAATGGCCATAGTTATCCTGCCGCTTAAAACAGTCTTACCCACTCCACAAAACACCCGAAACAAATCTATTATTACACCAGACTGTCGATGTAAACGTCTGTGTTGATAGAATAATGTTTGAAATAAAACTAACCTTGCATCGTCTGAATCATCGCATGTTGAGGGACTATTTTCTCATATATCAGTCCGCCGCTGCCAAGTTTTCTATCAGGAAGTACAACTCACTGCTGCTGCTCAGACATAAATCCTTCAAATGCAAGTATCATGTCTGTTGTAGTTTCTATTTTTGGATTTTTGGATTTGGTTTCTTCTGTTTTTTTTGGATTTGTTACATTAAACAGCTGAAGCAGTCCTACATTTTGGGTCCTCCCTCTGTTTTTACTTTACAGTGTTATTATTTGCCAAAATTAATAAAAAAAAAAAAATAGTCCATGACAACTTTTTAGGACACACAGGGCCAGTTCAAGAAGGTCGGGGGCCGGTCAAAGGGGCGTGGAAGACAGGAGTCGGACCGCGGGATTTAGTTTGATGACCCCTGCTATCAGTAACTATCAGTGTTAAAGTACTGTCTTCTTTCTGTTCATTTTCAGGTTGGTTTTACAGACATTTACATCGACAGTCTGGTGTAAAAATAGATTTGTTTCAGGTGTTTTGTGGAGTGGGTAAGACTGTTTTTAGCGGCAGGATAACTATGGCCATTGACATGCACTAGCCTAGCACCAGCGACCTCTGCAAATACAAGGACTGGATGGAATATTTTAAAAAGTGTCTCCACACGTCTCCAACACTCTGGCTCACTGGGAAATGAGGTCCTATGTCTAAAATTCCAAACTGTCCCTTTAAGAATGATTCAGACTTAGTAATTACTTCTTTAAAACTCAAAACTTAACTCTTAACTCCTTTATTAAATAATTACAAGGCTTGAATCATTCTTAATAAACTATTTGTTCATCTTTATTCACACTTTATTAAGGCTGTAAACAGTGTTATTATAAAGTGTTTCCAAAGTGACTACTCGGGGTATACAGTTAATATGTAAAGGTGCACTACGCAACTTTTCTAGTAGAGGGTCCGCTACCTGCTTGTCTCCATGGAGATGTTACTGCTTTGCCTGGAATGTTCCATAGTATGTCATTAAATGCTCAAAAATGCAATAATTCCTTCTATGAATAGGGGAGATATGGAGTATGAAAGCTTTCAGAAATATTCATGTGCATAGGATAGAAATCTGTGCGTATTTGGCTGTAGTTGAGCATAAAATAAATATTCTTAAACTCTCGAATGAGTCCAGTCGTACATAAAATGTGTTGTGTGTATTTTATCCATCAGAATACAAATTGAAAAGTTATAACATCAAGAATTATAATCACGGAATTTAAATTTACGATTACGCTTTCTTCAGTACGAATACGAATTCACAGGCAGAAGAAACATCGATCGAGATGGACTGAATCAGACTGAACCAGGACTAAACCAGGACTGAACTAGGACTAAAACAGAAATAAAACAGGACTAAAACAGGACTAAACCAGGACTGAACTAGGACTAAAACAGGATTAAAACAGGACTGAACTAGGACTAAAACAGGATTAAAACAGGATTAAAACAGGATTAAAACAGGACTAAAACAGGACTAAAACAAGACTAAAACAGGACTGAACTAGGACTAAACTAGGACTAAAACAGAACTAAAACAGGACTAAAACAGGACTAAAAACAAGACTAAAACAGGACTAAAACAGGACTGAACTAGGACTAAAACAGGACTGAACTAAGACTAAACTAGGACTAAAACAGGACTAAAACAGGACTAAAACACGACTGAACTAGGACTAAAACAGGATTAAAACAGGACTAAACCAGGACTAAAACAGGATTAAAACAGGACTAAAACAGGACTAAACAAGACTAAAACAGGACTGAACTAGGACTAAACAGGACTGAACTAGGACTAAACTAGGACTAAACTAGGACTGAACTAGGACTAAAACAGAAATAAAACAGGACTAAAACAGGACTAAAACAGGACTGAACCAGGACTAAAACAGGACTGAACTAGGACTAAAACAGAAATAAAACAGGACTAAAACAGGACTAAACCAGGACTGAACTAGGACTAAAACAGGATTAAAACAGGACTGAACTAGGACTAAAACAGGATTAAAACAGGACTGAACTAGGACTAAAACAGGATTAAAACAGGATTAAAACAGGACTAAAACAGGACTAAAACAGGACTAAAACAGGACTAAAACAGGACTAAAACAAGACTAAAACAGGACTGAACTAGGACTAAACAGGACTGAACTAGGACTAAACTAGGACTAAAACAGGACTAAAACAGAACTAAAACAGGACTAAAACAGGACTAAAACAAGACTAAAACAGACTAAAACAGGACTGAACTAGGACTAAAACAGGACTGAACTAGGACTAAACTAGGACTAAAACAGGACTAAAACAGAACTAAACAGGACTAAAACAGGACTAAAACAGGACTGAACTAGGACTAAAACAGGATTAAAACAGGACTAAACCAGGACAGATCCCAGGACTGAACCATAAAGACTAATCTAGGACTGAACTAGGACTAAAACAGGACTAAAATGGAACTAAAACAGGACTAAAACAGGACTGAATCAAGACTAAACCAGGACTGTGTGTCGGGACGGGAATTCGTATTCATACTGAAGAAAGCGTAATTGTAAATTTTCATTTCGTGATTGTCCTTCTTGATGTCGTTATGCCAAACTACAGCCAAATATGCACAGATTTCGCAAATATGCACATGAATATTTCCGAAAGCTTTCTTACTCTATGGGGCGACTCTCCACAGATCTGAACTGTAAGGTTTAATCTCAAAACAAAGCAATAATATTTCCATGGAGACAAGACGGCGGCGGACCCTCCACTGGAAATGCTCCTCTTTAACGGGATTCTAAGAGCAGAACCCAGTTTCCAAACAATGGCGTCGGCGTTGGCTTTGTTCGGCGGGTTGATTGTGTGTGTGGTTTGATTGACAGCCGAGCGGACAGTGATCGATGGTGAGAATGAGCACGACACAAAGCTAAAGGCAGAGGCAAAGAGACGGCACAGACACAGCTGCTAAAGGTTAACACGGAGGTCCAATGAAACACAGCGACAGAGGACAGACTCTTACCGATTCTATTCTTGCCTGAAAACCACAAGAGAAAGGAAAGAAAGAGCTTTATTGAGACGAACAGCACATAAACAGGTAAAAGCAGCTGAGTTTAAGCGATAAAGCTACAAAGACACTGAAAAAGATAAAGTTGAGGATAGAGAAACGATGCAGAACCGTCCAGCTGCTGCTTCTGCTGTCTTGTGAAGTTTGTTTAAAGGTTCTAAATGACACAAAATTGACTCTTTTGAGCTTTAAGCCGTGTTATAATGGACAGGATTCCCACGCTTTTTCACTGACAAAATTTTCAAAACTTTTCCATGACTTTTTCATGACCCAAAGTGAATTTTCCATGACTTTACGGCACTTACATGTGTAGAATGAATCAGACTTTTAGAGCTAAATGTGAAATGTTAACCCTTTCCACTCACCTTAAGGTTTGGGATTATAGTTTTTTAACATTCAAAATACTGTCAGTGCATTTATCGTTGTTTCTTTTTAAACAAATGTAGTTAATATGATTGTCAGAATAATTTTATTATCCCATATTTGCTAAATACTTGTGTGATATTCTATGCCTATGAGTTAACCATTTATGTACTACAATTCTTTGATTAATAATGTACCAATCACTTGTCACTTGTTGAATAACCTCTGTGTGTTTGACAACTGTGTGCAGTGTCCTATCGCTCTAGTGAACCTCCAGATGATTCCTCACATGAAACCAACTTCCACTGTCACACATGCAAGAGTTATGATGGTGTCTGACCAAACCTAAGGCACCTCCTGATTGTTAATCATGTTTTATGTGTTTGGACTATGCATAGCTGCATCAGTTTCTTATTATGTCTTGGCTGTTTCCCCTTCCCCTTGAGAATTATCATTCTGTAACTAGGGCCTCCTAATGAAATAAAAAGAGGAGAGCGGCCTTGAGGCATCAGAACGTGTGGAGACTGTTGGTTTTGATGCCCACTCTCTGCCCGTTCTCCTCGCGAGTAAAACTGAATTAATCTCTTGTCTTTCTTCTTGTTTACAATGTTTAGATAAACCTAACAATGATTAACTGAGATTCAGGAGCAGGACCGCGCCTCAGCCGCCCTCTCCTCTCACCAGTGAACCACAACTCACCTCGACCGCGCCTCTAATTTCCCAGAAGCCGATATGTAGCAGCCTTTCCCATCATCCCTGTTTGTCTCGGCGAACTCGACCCCACCCTCCCATCCCCTATTTTGTCTTTCAGTCATAAGACGCCTACAAGGGGGGTCCCGTTCCAGCCGGGCCAATTGCAGATTGAGATGGAGCCCCCCACCCAGAGTCTCAACCCAGCCACCTCTGCCCCGCTTCGTACATTATCAATAAACTTCTTCGCACGATGTAGTTGTTGGTGTGGTCCTACCTCGTGAAAAAGCGCAGACGTTTGGAAATAATCATAATAATCTAATGAGAACTTAACAGAACGCTGTATTTGCGTGAAAGAGATAATAAAATTCCATGACTTTTCCAAAACTAATTGAATTTACAAAATTCCTTGTAAATGACTTTATCAGGTCTGGAAAATGACATTTTCAATTTCCATGACTTTTCCAGGATTTCCATCACCCTGTTATAATGTTGTTTCCTCCTCAAAAACAAATCTAGAGTTGTGTTTTGTTTCTTTCACACGTTCATATCATAGATCATATCAAATGTGTATTAGAGCTGCTTACCGGTTACAGATAGACTATAGAGACATTATTTATTTACATTTTTTAAATTATTTTATGTTATGCTTGTTCTAGATTCAATGTTTAAGCAAAACTATTATTAAATATTTATTTTGATAAGCAAAAGTTTAACATTCTATATCTCAAAAGAAGAGAAAACCCGCAGATGTTGTTGAAATTTTTCAATAAATATTTAGTTTGGCCCAAGACTTAGACCCAGTTTTTAATTTTGGCCTCTGTGAATTTGAGTTTGGCACCCGCGGTCTACATCTTCAACTCAAAATGCTGTGTTCCACCTTGTGATGTCATGTAGTGGTAGTTTTCAAGTTAACAGCTCCTTTCAGTAGTAATTCAGTAGAAATCGGCAATTCCAGGGGTAAAACTATCCAAATGATTCTAGTGAAGATTTGGTTTAAAAACTCAGTGGAGCACTTCCTTCACACATGACATCACAAGGTGGAACGGAGTGTTTTCAGTTCGAGAGAAGAAGTCAGCCTAAATATGGAGGCTTTGTGTTAAACATTTGTGAATGAAATTAAACAAAACACAACTCCAGGTCTATTTTTGATAAGGAAACAGATTGAACAACGTAATACAGACCCTTTAAAAATGCTGATTCGCAATGTACAAAAAAAATCATGAAAACACCTTGCATAACCATGAAAATTTCAAAAAATACTCTTCCCTTCCAGTTGTTAGACAGTGATAGAGAGACAGACATTTATCAGTAACAAAACACAGCCTGTTCCTCTGGGGGAGTGTCTGCCCGACTCCGCACACACACACTTTTCTCTGAGTGGCAAAGCAGGTCTGAACCTTTCAACAGACTCTCAGAGAAAAACAGTGATTTCCTTTCCCCAAACTCCCACTTCAAGTTTTGTTCTTATTTTGAACCACAAATCTACAAGTGTTTCTTTGATAAAAACTGCTCTTCCAATTCTCTAAAACCATGTATTGCCCTGATACTTTTCCATTTGCTGTTTGAATTGAATTTTAATTGAGAATCAGTCATTTTTAATCTTTTAAAGGTTCTATATTACGCAAAATTGACTCTTGTGAGCTTTAAGACGTGTTATAATGTTGTTTTATCATCACAAACAGACCTGGAGTTGTGTTTTGTTTCTTTCACACATGTTTAACACACATTTAATTCTTTATATTTAGGCTGAGTTCTTCTCTCAAACGGAAAAACACTCTGTTCCACCTTGTGATGTCATGTGGTGATTTAAGAAGAGCTCCACTGTGTTTTTAAGATCAACACACCTTCCCTAGAATCATTTGGATAATTTCAGCTCTTGAATTGCAAATCTCTACTGAACAAAAGCTAAAAAGGAGCTGTTAACTTGAAAACTACCACTTTATGACATCACAAGGTGGACCACAGCATTTTGAGTAGCTCTCCACCCCCTTCCAAGTCGCTCACTAAGGGGTTTCGGAATTATGCCATTGTGCTGAATAACAAAACATTGGTTAAAACTACTGTAAATGTATAATTTTGAAGCCCAACTTTGTACACTAATAAATGGACAATAGTTTGTTTAGTAGGAATCCAACTGTACCCAAAGTCTTGTTGTCTTTCTTATAATCGTCTCAATTTCTTGCGGCCCCTATAAGTAGTAGCTCTCTGGCATTTTTGTTTAGTCAATTTTTTGCAAAAAAAAGGTGAGTACTGTGTTTTTTGGAATATAAGTCGCACTTTTTTCATGGTTTGGGTGTTTCCTGCGACTTATACTCCGGTGCGACTTATATATTAAAATGTTCACACTGACAGCCACAAGAGGCTCCAGGCTTGTGCGTCAGTTTTCTGTGCACGTCTCCCGTAGAAAAAGCCTCTGTTCTGCTGCAAGTGGTGAAATATGCAGCAGAAAACGATAATTGAGCAGCAGCAACAAAGCCTGGACTTTAGTGACAATCGAAGTTGCGCGGAGTTGCTCAGAAGTGAAGAAGAAGAATTCAATGGATTCAATGGATTCAATGGATTTAGTCATTTGGAGTGAGATCGAGAGTTTGGTAAACTTACGTGATGTTGTTTGTGCTATAGTTATCTGAAGAACTGTTAATATGTTACAGTAACATATTGACGCCTATTCAGTCTGTTGTTCTTTATTCTATTATTATTATTAGAACTTGCCTTTTAAGATGAACTGTCGGTTCCTGATCTCTGATTTTATAAAATAAATTTCCCCCAAAAAGTGCGACTTATAGTCCGGTGTGACTTATAGTCCGAAAAAAAAAAAAATGATAATCCTTTATTATTAATGTGTCTACATCTGCAAAGGTCAAAATGCTCTGTTCCACCTTGTGATGTCATGAAGCGGCAGTAGACAGCTACTATTTACATTTAGTTCAGAAGAGTTGAAATTATCCAAATGATTCTAGTGTATGGGGTGTATGGAGTTTAAAAACACAGAGGAGCCACATGACGTCACAAGGTGGAACAAAGTGTTTTCTATTTGAGAGAAGAACTCAGCCTAAATATGCAGGATTTATGTATTAATGAATGTGTGAATGAAACAAAACGCAACTCCAGGTCTGTTTTTGATGAGGAAACAACATTAGAACATACAGCAGATCAGAAAATAATGTAGTTTGAGCCCTTTAAATTGAAATTAGTGCACGTCTATATTGTCGATGCTTTGAAAAATAATACTGAAACCCACTTTTATTTGCTTTTAAGACAGAAAGAAAACTAAGATAGCTCAAAACAAGAAAGATATATATTATTTCTAGGGGTGTAACGATATCCAAGACTCACAATACCATGTAGTCACGGTATGAACCTCACAATACGATATTTATTGCGATATCGTGGGAAAGTTCACGATATGGTGGGGAGGCTCACGATTAGGGATGTAACAATATCCAAATCTCTCGGTACGATATTTTCACGATATACATCTCAGGGTACGATATTTATTGTGATATTTTGTGGAGTCAAAAAAAACTGTTAATGTGAGACTTTTTTCTCTTAAAATGCCTTGACAAGACTTAATCCAAAGACTTAAAAGTGCTTACAACTGTTATTTCTTCTTGTAGTCTGCACTGAAATGAAGCAAAGGATCATGGTCTATGTAGTTCTCTCTGTCTTTTTTTTTTATCATTGTTGCACCATAACTCTTAATTTAAGCAAAGAGACTTGTAATTCGATATATTGTGATGGTCCCACGATATTATTGTGAGAACTTTGACGAAAGAATCACGATATTTTGGTTATTGTTACATCCCTAATTATTTCTTCTGCTTTAATGACTCTGTTTAAACTCACGCTCAAAACAGTTCTGTTTAGCTGCATCATTAAGAAGTTGACGATACGATACATAGGCCACGATACGATACACATCTCGATACAGTGAGCTTTGGGGTCGATACGATATATTTCAAATCGATTCTATACAGTTCAATAAAAAATAAAGGCTAAATTGTGGCTGTGATATTAAAAGTCTTTGTTAAACCACTTCTTGTGCAAAATTAATATGAAACACAAACATTTTAATCACAAAAACAGTGAAAATGTCAAATGTGTCGCATAAATTAATTTCCTTCCCCTAAAAAAGCAAAAAAACTGTAGCGATGTAATCAAATAATTGAGTAAAATATACCGAAAAATACTCTTGGTGATATATCGATACAGCAACCCACGATATCGATACTGTATCACCACATTAAACGATACGATATATCAATATTTTGATATTTTTGCACACCCCTAACTGAAAGGTTTTCATTTGACGCTCTTTTCTTTTAATTACTGTCTCTGTCTCTTTGAATTTGTATTGTGATTTTAATGTATTTCTTATTCTGTAAAGCACTTTGAATTACTTTGTGTACGATACCCTCGATACAGTGCACTTTTGATTCAATGCTATATATTTAAAATCAATTCGATACAGTTCAGTTAAAAAATAAAGGCTAAATCGTGGCTGTGATACTAAAAATCTTTGTTAAACCACTTCTGGTGCAAAGTTCATATGAAACACAAACATTTTAATCATCAAAACAGTGAAAATGTCAAATGTGTCGCATAAATGAGTTTCCTTCCCCTAAAAAAGCAAAAAACTGTAGCGCTGTAACTAAATAATTGAGTAAAACACACCAAAAAATACTCTTGGCGATATATCGATACAGCAACCCACGATATCGATACTGTATCACCACATTAAATGATACGATATATTGATATTTCGATATTTTTGCACACCCCTGGCTGAAAGGTTTTCATCTGACGCTCTTCTCTGTCTATCTCTATTTTTAATTTTATGTTGATTATTTATGTTTTGATTTGTTTGTGTTGTGATTTTAATGTATTTCTTATTCTGTAAAGCACTTTGAATTACTTTGTGTATGAATTATGCTCTACAGTACAAATAAACTTGCCTTGCTTCGCTTTCTTTGTTCCATTTCTCGGTCGTGAGCTGTTTTCTGTGTCAAACATTTTGAGTCTCACCCTGTGACCTCCCCTCCCCCATCCATTTACCCCCGTGTCCGTGCGTGGCGCCACTTGCCGTTTAAAACATTGATGTGGTGCTTACGCGTGTGCTTGGCGTCGCTGGGCGTGGCGTGCCCTCTCAGGTTGTCCTCGGCAGATTCGCGCTCGCTGGAGTGGTCCGTGATCACCGAGTCGCCGTCCGAGGGAGAGATCCTGCCCAGAAACACAACAGCCTCAATAATGGAAAAGCAGGACGAGCCAAACAGGCCAAAACCACATGCATTATCAAAACAGGCACACGCAGAGAGGATCTGGTTCTATTGTTGCAAAATCTGACCTCATCTTCAGTTTTCACGTTTGTATTTATTTTACGCAGTTAAAGAGAGATGTTACTGCTTTACCTGGAATGTTCCGTGGCATTTATTCATTACAGGTGTTTCTATTGCTCAAAAACACAATACACGGTTCTCACACTTTTTCAGTGACAAAATTTCAAAACTTTTCCATGACCTTTTCATGACCTGAAGTGAATTTTCCAAGACTTTACGGCACCTACATGTGTAGAGTTGATCAGACTTTTAGGGCTAAATATGAAATGTGAACTCTTTCCACTCACCTTATGGTTTGGTTTTATAGTTTTTTAACATTCAAAATCCTGTCGGTGCATTTGTTGTCGTCTCTTTTAAACAAAAGGTGCAGACGTTTGGAAATAATCATAATGAATTTACAAAATTCCATGACTTTTCCAGGCATGGAAAATTACATTTTCAATTTCCATGACTTTTCCAGGATTTCTATGATCGTGGGAACCCTGACAACAATTCCTTGTGCTAATAGGTGCGACTCTTCACAGATCTGACTTGTAATGTAGCGTAGGCTGTGTAACCTGCTCGTCTCCCTCATTATAGATATGTTTAATTTATACTGACATGTCAAACTCAGGCCCGGGGGCCAAATTTGGCCCGTGACATAATTATATTTGACCTGCGAGATCATATTAAATATGTATTTATGTAAAATGTTGTTATTATTTTATATTCAGCTTGTTGTGGATTCAATCTTTAAGCTAAACATTTTATTAAACATTTATTTTAATAAAAAAAGGTTTAACTTTACATATCTCGAAAGCAGAGAAAACATGTAGATGTTGAAAATTTTCAGTAAATATTTAGACCGGCCCACGACTTAGTCCCAGTTTTTAATTTTGTCCCTCTGTGAATTTGAGTTTGACACCGCTGTTCTAGACAAAGCAATACTGTTTCCATGGAGACAAGCAGGTGGTGGACAGTCCATTAGAAATGTTACGCAGTGAACCTTTAAATATTTTAACTGGGCAATTAAAGGTGCAACTTTTTGAAGGGGGAGGGGTCAGTTACCAAAGAGATAAAGCTTTGTCTGTCACGTCCCAAATGGAATTCAGCTTTTATTGAATTTTGAAGTTTTAATTGGTCAAAAATATCAAAAATGTCTTAAATTCATTCTAACTCTGGACCTCTTCACCGACCTGACCTGTAAGAGACCAGAGGAAGCAATAACATCTCCATGGACACAAGCTCCACCCTCTACCAGGAAAGCTACAGTTAAGTAAATTTCGACAAATATACAGCTTCCAGATATAACTGAGTAAAAATGGATTCAAGTGGTAAGTAATATAGACAAACTGTGGCAGAAAACATCAGCAGAAACACTGTCTCTCTCAGGTTCATCAATAATTGATCTAAGAATCTGTCAGGAGCTTTATGTCTGCGTGAGTGCCCGCTCCAGCTCTGCTCCAAATAAAAATGGAAGAACGGCCCGAGGATTAAAAACATTAAATTGTCAACTGAGACTCAGTGTGCTGCATCTATGGGTTTAAACGAGAAATGATGGCCCTACACAATGTATACAGTTACCCGAAGGCAGGCACTTAGTGAAACACAACACTGAAATGGGCTCATAATGCTAAATCAACAGCCTTTAAATACATTTCTTAATTGACGATTGCTGACGTTCTGAGTGTGTACACATATATTTCATCACAATGGGTTTGGCATGTACAAATACTTTGCAAAGATCGTCATGCTGGGGGAGCTTCATGTATGTGTATGGCGCAATGTTCAGCAGTTATCAAACCACAAAAAAGAATATCTATCTAAGTTAAAATGACTTAAATTAAGACTTGATTTGAGTAGATTCATCTCAACAAGTGAAAAGATCTACCAATATGAGAAAACGTTGCTGATGATTTTGTTTATATCCGGCTTTTCCACACATGCGAAGTGGCTGGTAGGCAAAAAGTCAGTGAAACCGCTCGTTTGCGTTGTGTATGTCTGTCATGAGATAACGCGTCTTATTATGAAGTAGGTTTCGAATTTAATTACTCTAAGGCCCCGTCCACACTAGTAAGTATTCGAGTCGTTTTCGTTGTAGATGCAGTGTTCGTTCACACTAATCTGATGGAAAACGGCTCCAGAGACGGAACGATCTGGTACCTCCAGCTCCCACGAATTCATCTGAGTGCAGATCTGATCCGGCACCGTGTGGACGCCTGAAAACATTGATACACTGATGTAGGTCTATGCGCCGCGAAGTAATTCACCGCCAAAATGCTAAGAGGATAAAATATATGTCCATTCATATATACGGTCTGTGTGTACGACCTGCAGACGTATAATCTCTGAAAAGTTTAACATGAACCATCTCCAACGCAACAGAAACACAGAACAGACTCACCATCAGCAGAACACCCCTCTGTCACAGAAAGAACACTCATATTCCACTGAGTTCGTGTCCTTTAGTCCGACAGAAGCTGAACCGCATCAGCGCACAATAGTGAGCTGTTTTTTGAGCGCTCAGTTTATTCAAATTAGCCATGTGGTTTTAAGTTCTGTTTCTGTAAAATGTAAACAAATATGCTCAAAGCTGTGTGGACTTGCGGACACAGAAATGACGTGTCTGGATGCAGATCATTTCCGATTCAGTGATTCGTTTCAGTGTAAACGTAGCCTAAGTCACTGAATGTTGAGGATCAAAACTGTCACTTTGAAAAGTTAAAACTCACCAATAACTGTTGACAATACTGATGTTGACTTGATGTTTTTTTCCTACCAAAAGTGATATTATTGTGTTTTTCTTAATTCAAGCAACATTCGAATTTGTTTCTTAAATTTGGTGAAGATGTATTTTCATATTTTAACTTCAAAAAGTCTTGTTGCATTGGTAGATCATTTTACTTGTCAAGTGAAATTTGATCACATTTTATCTCAAATCAAGATAAAATGTTCTTAATTCAAGTAATTTTACTTAGATATTCCTTTTTGATGCCTTTAGATAGATATTCCTTTTTCCTGAGTTTTTGCAGTGCATGGCGACACAATACTTTGACAAACACAGCACAAAGGAGTCTTTTGTCCCAGGCCCCAGGGTTTTAGGGGCCCAGAATTGGACCCTCTTCCTATTAATTTATATTAGAGGGGGGCCCGTGTGAGTCTTCTTGCTCCGGGCCCCTATATTTCTGTCAATGGGCCTGTAGAAAAGTATCAACAGTTTATCCTCCCCCTCCTTACCACACTGTTTGACTTTTTGTCCATGTTGATGTGTATTTTTGCATTTTATTTATTCATTTTTCCTCCCTAAATGAGCATGTTTATTATTATGATGTCCACTATCTTCCTTTTTGTCTGTTTAAGACACACAAAAAAATCAGTTTATCCTCACGCTTACCTCTCCCTCCTCCGGCTGGCGTGAGAGGCTTTGGTGGAGGAGCCTTTGGAGACGGGAGTGGGTATTTCCCCGTTCTCTGATGGAGTCAAACCCTCTTTAACGGGCGCGGGGAGGGGTGGAGCGCCAGACTGCTCCTGTATCACCATGACATCATCCTTGCTCTGCTGGCCAAGATGCAGTTTGGCGAAGTCGAAGCCTTTTACACTGGGAGTCTGCAGCTGAAAACACGGACAAACGAGGAGTAAAGTTACTACGGTGTAATTTTTGAGAGACGTAGAGTGTTGGGAAGAATACTGAATACTTGAATTAAAGGTGTATTGTGTAACTTTTCTGGTGGAGGGTCTGTCGAATGCTTTTCTCCATAGAAATATTATTGCTTTGTCTGGAATTCTGTCTGGAATTTCACCGTATGGCATTAAACCTTTCTATCTTCATGCCAAACCAGACCAAGTTACAGGTCAGATCTGTGGAGAGGCGACGCCGCTCACAGTCAGAATGAATGTTTTCTAGGTATTTTTGAGCTGTAATACCACTTGTAATTGAATTAATGTAAGGTAGAGCTGTTTAATGTCATATTGTGGAACATTCTATCCATTGAAACAAGCAGGTGACAGACCCCACCCAAACCAAAAAGTTACATAGTGCAAATTTTAAAATGTATTTTGTAACATAATCTGATACACAGGCCAATCAGAGTACTTTATTTCAAATATTTAGAATACTTTTACATTGAGGTGCATTATATTTTAGTCCAAAATCCTGCACAGTTCCCGTCGAACTTGCAAAATGAGAGATTTATTAGGACAAACAGTGCAACGTTTGTGCAACAGAATGAGAGCTCAGGTGGCCATTTTAAACAGGGTGTGGCAAGCACCCAAGGGTGACAGGTTCTTTGTTCTTGGGCTCAGTGGCGGAGTTAGCAATTTGGGGGCCCTAGGTGAACTTGAGTTTTGGTGCCTCACTATAATTAACCGTTTTTCTGTTTTGTTTTTTAAATATATGAATTGTCTGTTTTTGCATCGTTCTTGACACATGCACATCTCTATTTTTTGAATTATGGAGGATTGGAAACTTGTCTTATTAGTTCGGTTCGCCGACAAGAAAACCAGAACTGAAAGTAGTTTTATTTTTTTACTGGTACAATTACATTTTTGTTTACATCCATTACATATGATTATGATTATTTTTCTTATGATTATGGTTTAAAATTAAATTACTCTCATTTAATGTTATATTGAGAGAAAATCTAATTGCTCTGAGGCCTCGGTCATTAGTGGCACTGAGGGCAATTGGTTGGGGGACCCTCCAGCTGTGGGGGCCCTAGGAAGCCGTCTACTTTTGCCTAATAGCAGCACCGCCTCTGCTTGGGCTGCTCCCTCTCCTCCAACACACCTGTCTCAAGTAACTGATATGCAAATTTCTCATTCTTTTGCATAATATTTTAGTAAAAAAAAATTTAATAAAAAATGTAAAAACTACATACTGACTGCATTAATTCTGTTGCTTTGTTTGTCACGCATTAAAGGTGCACTGCGCAACGTTTCTGGTGGAGGGTCCAACACTTGCTTATCTCCATGGAAATGTTATTGCTTTGTCTAGAATGTTCCACAGTTCAGATTAAACCTATCAATCACAAGGGAGACAAGCAAGTTACAGTTCAGATCTGTGGAGAGTCGACCCTATTCACAGAAGGAATTAATGTATTTTTGAGCCATAGAAACGCCTGTAATGAATAAACGCTCGATGGAAATGTTGAAAGTCATACCAGGGAACATTCTAGGCAAAGCAACAACATCTCCATGGACACAAGAAAATAACAGACCTCCTACCAGAAAAGTTACGCAGTGCACGTTTAAGTTGTGCCTAATTGGAAAAGGAAAACATGCACGCACCGTCGCACGCTCTTTGCAAGATTTTTTCTCTTATAATTTGCAGTACAAACCCCAAAATTAAATAATAAAGCACCGCCATGTATTCCTTTAAACTTACTGAAAAGATAAATACATAAATAAAATCAAATAAAATAAAGAAAAAGTAAGTATACCAGATTACAGTTACTCAAAACTAGAATTCTCAGTGTGTATTTTCGGTATTCAGTTACTTCCCAACACTGCACAAACATGTTCTGAGAGTAAACTGTAATTAGGCCAGAAAAGCGAGTGAGACATTAATGAATAAAGAGGGTGAATAGGCAGAGGAAGACGGAGAGGGGAAGCCGGGGAGACGATTGCGTTTTCCTTTGAGTCGGAGGGGGATGGAAGCGCTTTGAATGTGAAGACCTTTGGGACGTTCAAACAGCCCCAGAGTAAACACAAGACCTCACTACATGTGCCAGCAGTGTGCCTTACCCACGACTTTTGGCTTTTGAAACTTGACTAAAACTAAAATAATTACATCTGTTTTTTACACTACACCTCCTGCATTTTCACAAGGTCAATCTTAAAAAAAATTCCAGACAAAAATATAGACTTTTATGCTCTGTGTTTTGTGATAACCTCTTGAAAGGTCCTACAGTACACAAAATTGACTCTTGTGAGCTTTAAGTCGTGTTATAATGTTGTTACCTCTTCAAAAACAGACCTGGAGTTGTGTTTTGTTTCTTTCACATGTTTAAGTAAGTCTTTATTATAAGTCTGTCTCCGTCTTTTAAAGGACAGTCCAGAATTTTGGACATAGGACCTCATTTCCTAGTGAGCCAGAGTGTTGGAGACGTGTGGAGACACTTTTTAAAATATTCCATCCAGTCCTTGTATTTGCAGAGGTCGCTGGTGCTAGGCTAGTGCATGTCAATGGCCATAGTTATCCTGCCACTAAAAACAGTCTTACCCACTCCACAAAACACCCCAAAAAAAAATCTATTATTACACCAGACTGTTGATGTAAATGTCTGTGTCGACAGAAAGTTCTGCAGCGGCGGACTGATATATGATAAAATAGTCCCTCAACATGCAACGATTCATGTGATGCAAGGTTAATTTTATTTCAAAACATTATTCTATCAACACAGACATTCACATGGACAGTCTGGTGTAATAATAGATTTTCTTTGGGTGTTTTGTGGAGTGGGTAAGACTGTTTTTAGTGGCAGGATAACTATGGCCATTGACATGCACTAGCCTAGCACCAGCGACCTCTGCAAATACAAGGACTGGATGGAATATTTAAAAAAGTGTCTCCACACGTCTCCAACACTCTGGGTCAGTAGGACCCCGTTTACACTGAAACGAATCCGCGTATCACTGTATCGGAAACACACACATCATTTCTGTGTCCACAATCCTTCCTTATCCACACAGCGTTGAGCATATTTGTTTACGTTTTACAGAAATTAAACTTAAAACCACATGGCTAATTTGCATAAATTGAGCGCTCAAAAAAACTGCTCGCTATTGTGCGCTGATGCAGTTCAGCTTCTGTCGGACTAAAGGACACGACTCAGTGGAATATGAGTGTTCTTTCTGTGACAGAGGGGTGTTCTGCTGATGGTGAGTCTGTTCTGTGCTTCTATCACGTTGGAGATGGTTCATGTTAAACTTTTCAAAGATTATACGTCTGCAGGTCATACACAAAGACCATATATATGAATGGACATATATTCTTAGCTTTTTGGCGGTGAATTAGACCTACATCAGTGTATCAGTGTTTTCAGGCGTCCACACAGTGCCGGATCAGATCCGTACTCAGATGAATTCGTGGGAGTTGGTGGCACCAGATTGTTCCGTCTCTGGAGCCATTTTCAATCAGATTAGTGAGGACAAACACTGCATCCACAACGAAAATGACTCGAATATGTACCAGTGTGGACGGGGCCTCAGAAATGAAGCCCTATGTCCAAAATTCCTAACTGTCCCTTTAAGTAGTTACTAGGCTTGAATTATTCTTAATAAACTATTTGTTCATCTTTATTCATGCTGTTTCCAAAGTGACCACTAGGGGTATACAGCTCATACTGGTGGAGATGTTAATGCTTTGCCTGGAATGTGTTTCTATTGCTCCAAAAACTCAATAATTCCTTGTGTGAATAGGGGCGACTCTCCACGGATCTAAACTGTAATGTTGCGTAGCAGCGTAAATCTGCAGAGTTTGTGTGTTAAACATGTGTGAATGAAACAAAACACCACTCCAGGTCTGTTTTTGAGGAGGTAACAACATTATAACACGACTAAAAGCTCACAAGAGTCAGTTTTGCGTGATGTAAGAACTTTAACTACTAACACAAGTCGGCAAATAACATCATATATACAACGGGTCGCACGAGAACCACAAATTTACATTTCACTATCACTACGTCAGACAAAAATACACAGACTCTACCTCATCTACTGTGCAAATCCTGTTTCTGGGCACCAGGATTACGCACACGCACACTACCACAAACACAGACTGGTTTCTATGACGACAGCTCAATATACCTCCTTCTGAGCGCCTCTTTCTTTAGACCGAACTTTAGTCGTCTCCCCCGTGTTTGACCGAACTGTTTTCTTTCCTTGTTTGTTTATTTCCGGCTTCTCGTCCTCTGTTTTACTCTTTCTCTCAGTGTCTCCAGCTGTGCCATCATCATCATCATCCTCTTCGTCTTCGTCTTCTTCATATCCTTCCTCCTCTTCATAATCCTCCTCCTCCTCCTCCTCCTCCTCTTCCTCCCCACTGAATGTCTGCCGTTTGCTCTTAAGGGGAGTTACAGGCTTCTAAGTAAAAGCAATGTCGCACAGAATTAGCACAAACGTATGTTAAAACTAAAGCTGTTGATGTGGATTCCGGACTCATTTTGTTTTTCTTCTAAATGCATTACTTCATTTAAAACAGTCAGGTTATTTTTACAGCAGTGGAAGCCTTTAGTTCACACGACATATACTACATTAAAACAGGGAAGGAACTAGGACTATACCAGGACTAGAAAAGGGGCAAACTACAAAAAAAAAAAGAAGTCTACATCAGGACTGTACTGGGCTCAAACCAGGACCAAAACCAGGACAAATGTGAACAAAGCCAATAGTGTGACTAGGGGTGTGTAAAAATATCAAAATATCACTATATATCGTGTGGTGAGACACAGAAGTGCGGCCAAGTCGTTGTTTTGCAAGTCTCAAGTAAGTATAAAGTCTTTGACCTCAAGTCTGAGTCAAGTCCCAAGTCAAATACAGGCAAGTCCAAGTCGAGTCTCGAGTCACTGGCCCATAAGTCCAAGTCAAGTCCAAGTCGTCTGCTTTGAACTTCA